TCCCTCTCGAGCCGGTTGTCACCCATGGCCCCGCTGTGTCTCCCGTTTGCTACCCAGAGGTAGCCTCGCTCTGGGGCGCCAGTGTCCGAGCAAGGTTCTTGGCTGCTCCCCTCATCCTTCCCCTTACAACGGCACCTCTGTTTCACTTGGTGGCACTCAAACTCTACAATCATAACAGATGGCCAACATCCACTGCCTAAGCTTCTAGTTTTTGTTAAGTGTCTTCACGTAAGTAATTTTATTAAAGATTTACAGGCTCGTGGATTGCTCAAGATCAGATGACCCATAATGATGAAGTCTGTCTCAGTACAAGTCAAAAAAATTAAGACACAGGGAGGTTGCTGAGGTGCCGAGACGGAGTAATGACATGGTCACATGTGAAACAAATCAAATTTAACCCTTTGCTCTCACTTGCTTTTTTCTCGATTCCTTTATTCTACTCGGGATTTAATTTTTTAAATATCCCGGATTTTACAAAGCGCAGTAGAATAAAAAAACTGGAGTTTCTTTTCATACAAACTTATTTGTTTGGATTTTTTTTATATTTAAAATTATTGATACATTCGAAGAGTAATTTTAATCTCTATCATTTTTCACGGTGTGATATTTTTTTGAAACATTCACCCACATGAAGACCTGGTTTACGTTCACGTTTCGCAAATATAAATCGTCTCTCTTTTTCCTCCATTGATTTTTCTGTTAGAACAAACAACACGATCTTTGTGTTTTTCGTTAGGGTGAGGTGTGATTACATGGAGCTTTCCATCTAAACGTTGCTCTAAGGTAGTGGATGATAACCTACCCCTGGAAGTTAGTGTACCATCTCTGCATTTACATTTTACTTGTCCTTTCATGCTAATGAAAACAAGAGAAGATACTGGAAAAATAGACAAAAATCCCCCTTCCCCCCGAGGCGAAACTCCGTGTGGAGTGTGGCTCGACATACAAGCTGCTACCGATGCCAACCGTGTCGAGTCACACTCGACATCTGAGTGCAAAGGGTTAAATGAGAGTTTTGGGGGGTTTTTTCCTGCCAACCATTTTGGTAACCTCATTTATCCTGTTTCAGAAATCAACATAAATTCTAAAACATGGAAATTTTGTTCAAATTGTGTTGCTAAAATGCACAACAGGATTCACTAAACAGAAAAATAAGTAGAGCGTAATGAGTAAACAGATGTAGCTGTGATCAACATCACAGCTATTAGAAAAACAAGAGACCACTGCGCTTTCCCGTGTTGCTGGGACGCACCCTGAGACTGGAGGGAGGCTGAATCCGGAACAAGAGGGTGGCTCAGGTAGTAAGACGGTAATGTGGCTCAGCTGCCTTGAAATGAGTCACGTAAAGAACACAAGCAGTAGTACTAACATAAACTCACCTTTAGTTATCAGTGTAATTTTCCAGCTGTTAGACACATAGTAATGTAACAGTTACATCGGCATGAAGCTAACTTAGTGCTTTGAATCTGAAAGCTTTAAAAAGGATGATTTTGAAAAAAACAAAACAAAACACCAAAAAACTTGACTTTATTTATCATGTTATCATCTAAGTGCTTCATTTCCTGGGTTCAGAAATGCAATGTTTTGCTCCTTGAGGGAAGAGGCATGGCTGTATGTAGGGTGCCATGGCAGAGTTAACACCTCCATGAAGAGCAGAGAGACCGCCCAGAGTTGAACAGGTGAGGGACCACATACGCGGTCTGCCATGTGCGCAACCTGCGCAGCTGCCCGTGACTGCCCTGTTAGCCGAGCCCTGCCCAGCTGCCGTCGCTAGAAACTGTCAGAGTTGCTCAGAACTCCCGGTGCCTTTGCTGATGCCACAGAGTATTCGCCCCAGTGTCTGCTCTGTTGTGCTGTTAGTTTTTAAGTTCGTGTGTAAAAGTCTGATTTCCTGAATTATAGGGGTTTTGTTTATTGGAATGAGGAGCCCACATGTGTCATTTGTGTATGTCCATTGACATTTATCAGTGCCTTGCTAAATGATGTATGAATTTGTAGAAGCATTTTTTTTGTACTTTTGTATTCAAATAATAAGAGTCTTAGAAATTTATTTGTGTATATATACAGTAGTTACAGCATGAATATATGCCCGGAAAAACAACATTTTATACTGCTCGCTATGTACTTAAAATATAATTTGCTTTTATACAGAAAACGAAGTAAATGATTTTTTTTCATGTGTGAATTATATTAGACAGTCTGAGAAGATCTAAGAATGCCTAAAAGCTATGAAATTTATTCTTTCAGATTTCCATTTAGACCCACACCTCGCATGCTCTCACTCATACGTGGGAGCTAAATATTGAAACAGTTGATCTCATGGACACAGAGAGTAGAATGAAGGTTACCAGAGGCTGGGAAGAGTAGCAGGAGGGGAGATAAAGTGAGGATGATGAATGGGTGCAAACTATAGTTAGATAGTGAGATAAAATGAGCAATATTTGATAGCACAACAAAGTGACTATAATCAACAAGTTAGGGTATACTTTAAAATAACTGAAAGAGTATAATTGAATTGTTCCTAACATAAAGAAATGAGAAATGCTTGAAGCTGTGGATACCCCAATAATCCTGACTGATAAATACACATTGTATGCCTGTATCAAAACATCACATGTGTCCTATAAATATATACATTTATTATGGACCCATAATAATTAAAAATAAAAAAATTAAAATAAACAATAAAATAAAATAAAATTGAGACTCAGAAAAAAAAACAAAACAATTTTAGGCCCAAATTTTCTAAACCAGTTTGCATTTTGTTAGATATAAAGTCTGTTTTATAAAAACTGCCTTATGACGACAAAGTGTTAAGTGCTTTCATTTGGATTTATTAAGTATAGTAAAAAATGCGTGATTCACTGTTCTCTCTATATATGATATGAATAGCATTTATTTAAACATGAATTCTGGCTAATTTATTTTCATCTAATATCCTATTTATTTTAAATAAAGGTAGTTAAATATTCTGTTTGTTTAGGAAATTGCGTAGTTTGGCATCAACTCTGAATTGCAGTGGTGATGCAGATGCACAGGACGTTATACTGAGGATTGTGTTTCACTTCAGGAAATCCTGACCAGCATCAAAAAATACTATTTTTATTGGTGTACTTTAGGAACCCAAAAAGGTTTATTTAGTGTTCAGCAGGGTTGAATTTGAAGGAAATAAGAATAACTAAATTTGTTTTACCTCAAAACTTATTTTACAAGTACAGTGTAATTTTACTTCTTAAGAGCTCCTTTCAATTTCAAGGGTTTTAATAAATCTTTAAATTGTTTAAAGATTTGATTTCTAGATCTATTTACTCAGAATTAAATGTGAATCATTTTCTAATAAGTCATAAAAATTTATATTCATTAAAGAAATTCATTTATATAAAAATTTTTAGATTCCATATGTCATTATGATTTTTAAGGTCACAGATGTTAGAAAACAGGAGCGAGGTGAGAAATAAAGGAGACAGATCTGTGTGTGTGTGCAGATCTGTGTGAGCAGAAATAACATACACATCATACTTCTTACTACAAGTCTAGCTCTAATAAAGTCTGTTTCCTGGATTAGAAGCCAAACTTGGTAATACTTTCTCCAAATGTATCTGAAGAACATTGCCTCATTTTGATTACACAAAGTGAAAGTACAGCACATGTATAGTGTGTTAATAGTTTAAATTTCTTTCTGCTACATTTCTGTAATTTATGCATCTTGAAGAGGGGTAGAATGATGTTCTAGATATCTCTGTCATTGTTTTACTTCCCCTTATGTTCTTGTGCCAATTATTTAATCAGGAAAAACTTCATGGTTATTTTTTCTCATTGTATATGTTATGAGATGAACTCTGTAGCAAGGCCAGTTTTTAATGCGGTCTTTGGGCAGAATGTGCAACACTGAAATAAAGAGAAACTGTTTGGAACTATGAAAGGTTTCATTAAAATCTTTCTGAGGGAGAGAATAATAGATGTCTAATCCCCATCCAAAACTTGAAACACATAATTTGAACTTCTTCCCCTAGAATGAAAGTCCTTGCAAGGCTTCTTAATAGTCTTTTGGGGCCACTGTCTTTTTTTTTGTTTTTTGTTGCTGTTCATGAAAAGAATATAAAAAGCTAAAAGAAAACAAATGTTTCCAGCAAAACATCTATTCTCCTCTGACAGAGACATCAAATTACTCTCCCCATCAACAATTCTAATGAATGAATGTTGATTTACTAGAGAACTTCTAAATATTAAATGTTTTTGTATGAATTCCTTATTGCTTTTTTCCTTGCTTTTAAGCCCTTTCCCATCTACATGTGAATTGTTCACACAAATAGAGAAATAAATCAGTTTAATCAAAGTTGGGAAACAATGCTAAGTGTAGGTAGCAAAAGAGAATGGGTTTTCCCAAGTTATTCTATATCAAAGCCAAATGGCTCTATTTTGAGACACTTCTGCATAATAAAAGGGAATTTGCTCTCACTAAGCCTAGTAATTTGCCTCGCTAAATACTGGTAGCTGCTGGAAAATTGTCGTTCTTTATTGCTGTTTTCTCTAAAAGTAAGCTGCTCTTGTTTTCAGTAACCCAGTGAATTAGGCATCTGTTTTTTGATACTGTTCCTAATGGAATAAGAGGGTAACTCTTAAAGGAGATGCCAGGTATCCAAATCCTTTACTGCCGAGCAAGTGCTGTGGCTTCTCTTTCTGGGGCTGTCAAATAATACTCCACAACCATGAAGTGGTTAAAATAAAAGGGTCCACATGATGAACTACAGCTACAGTCTGTCTATGACTAGCAGAATATATGGAAGGAGCATATTCCTGTTTTATGAGAAGCGTACCTTCAGCTATGAAACAAAGGATGTATAATAAAGAACATTGTATGGACTAATACCTTGAAAATGAGAACACGGTTTCCCGACTCTGTCTTCAGGAGTTGGAAAGACACAGTGAGGAAAGGGAATGTGCGGATATAAATGCATATTTCTAACTAAAGGTACTAAGTGTGCGTATTTCTCCAACAGCATGAAGGAAGCAGGAGCAGGCCACAAGCCACGGAGGGGCCCCGGGTCCAACCCCTGCGGGCAGTGCCCAGCCGTCTACACCAGCCCCGTCTGCGGCTCAGATGGCCACACCTACTCTTCCCAGGTAAAGACAGCTGCAGACGTTTCGCGTGAAATAAGTAACGTATACTTATCAGCAAATTATTAAAACTATTAGCTCTCTCCTGTGGTCATCCAGATAATTTATTTAACTTTTAAAATAATATGAATGATCTCACTGGTTTGGAATATGATTCGATGTACATTTGTGGGTTTTCTTTTCCTGTATCAGTTTGAAATACAAAAGCTGCAAGCACTCTGAGCCCTCAGATATTAAAACCAGCATTTCCTTTGCTGACGCTGTGAAAGAGGTCAGAAGGTCCGTGTGCTGTGTGATACCACCAATACACCAATAGGCATTACTGTAACAACAGCTGCTACGGTCTGTCAGTAAGACTAATTTTTATCTCATATGTTATCTCCTATAGTATCTCATTTAAGCCTCCAAAAAGCCCCCTTAGCAGATGAGAAAACTGAGGCTCCAGAAGGCATAGGAATTTGCCAGGTTTCCTTATTTCATTGGCACTGAAGCCACACCTTGCTGTCGTCTCTGGTTCCATGCCTTTGCTTCCTCCTCTGTACACTCTGCCTCCCAACTGGGTGTCCCTTATTGTAAAATATTTAGAAATTTTTAAGAACTTTGCCTAAATAAAGCATTGATGACTTTTCTTTGATTATGCCGCAGAAAAAAATGTACAGGCTCACAGCCTCTTACCTGAAACCCTTGGGGCAGGCACATTTATGGATTTAGATTTTTTTTTTAAATATGCTTTAGAAAAGTAAAACAGCATACTTTGCAGTGTCCCCCATGGGAGCTTCCCCTGTAATTAAGCATACTGACATCTCTTTAAGGAACGCTTCGGATAGTCTCATCGGAAAATATACACAAAATCTATAAAATAACTTTACCTAAGTTCGTATGTGGGGCGCGGTGGCAATGCCATTCCAAGATGGCGCCCGCTTCCTGGTCAAACCCTGTTGTTAGTCTGACAAACAAGTGCTCAGCGCATGTGCAGAGTTTGTCTCCTCCCTTCCAAGTGCCTTATCCAATCAGACAATGCCCAGTGTACTTACTGCCTTTATAAGCAGCCGCCGAGAACGCCTCGGCGTCTTCCGCATGTAACCAGCAAAGCAATCCCCATTAAAGCGCTGTCAGAAGAACTCCGGTTGCCGCGTCTTCCTTGCTGGCGAGGCGGGCGCGACATTCGTATCTGGTTTTTCTTACTGCAAAGTTAATTCCAAAGTTGTTTGGACTTTCTGAAGGCTTTGCTTTTCTAGATGCCTGCTTGTGAGCCGTACTTCGTGCAGGACAATATTTTCCTGTAACTTCCACTTGCATTTTATAATGACAAATCTTGATGAAAGCATTTCAATAACAAGATAGATAAATTCAGTCATTAAAGCTGTACGTGCCACATACGAGGTACCGACAGCTGTGTATCCTCAGTGGAGCTGCCGTAGTTTTAAAGATACTTGGAGAACGGAATTACTGCGAGGACCGGAGGGAGCGTGTCGGGATCCTCTCAACAGGGCCTTTGTCTTGGTGAATTTGCTGTGGTCCGGGACCTCAGCTTTGCAAGTTTAGAGGATTCACGTTGTCAGCACAAGGAAGAGAACTCTGTCTCATGTTATCAAGCCCCACACAATGACGTCTGAATCATTATACTCTGTCACTGAGTTACAGTGAAGGACGAAGCCGGTAATCTTCAAACCAGTAGGTAGAGCTACGTGGGGTTGCTAAATTGCGATCCTAATTTTATTAAACAAGCACCGATGAGTTGAGTCAGTGGTGGAGCAAGTGGAATTTTGAACGGCATCCAGCTGAGGTAGCCTTGTGTCCTTCTCCGCGTTAGAAAATTATACGCAGGAAGGACTGACACATCTGTGCCTGGGCGTCATCATCCCCAAAGAGTGTAAGCAATGGTGTCGCCACTGGCTCCTCGGGGACTCCGCTTTGGATGCTCCTAGCAGGTGATTCTCTCTTTCCCAATTTAATTTCACAGGACACCAAGTTACAATCATAAGTGATTTCTACCCACCGGGACTACATGGGAGGCCTTGTCTGATGATATTAGGGTTACTTAGCATTTCAGAAACACAGTGGTTGTCTTCTTACCAAAGACTAAACAACACACCGATCCTCAGTAGACTAATTCACACGTGTTTCCATTTTCATGTGGTTTCCTCCTTGTTCTCCTTGTGTACCGGGCATACTGCAAAGCCACAGCTTATAAATTATATAATCTTACTAACATTGGTAATAAAATCAATCTTCTAAGTAACCCATATCAGAATTATTATTTTAATATTTATTTGCATAAGTGTCGCAAATGCTTTATTTATAGAGAAAGACATAAAAAAAATGGTTCAAATGACTATCAGTCTTCAGCATCCCTAAGTCGACATCTTTATTTCTGTCGATTTTAGTTTAGCTTCGTGGTTTGTCCCCACTTTGCCCCCCCCCCAGCTCAGTCTTCAGTGCTCGCGTGGGCAGCAGTGAGGCTGAGCTGAACCAAACAACAAAACTCAGCAGAGCTGTGGACCTAGTAAGAACTTAGGTTAAACCCTCCTTACTAAGACTTTTTAAAAGTTTATTTGACTCGAAATTCAAATTAAAAACCTCATGTTTTTTCCTGTAAGAGAAAGTATTGCCCTACGCTATTTAGACGCTGGATCAAGAACACTCACACACACACACACACACACACACACACACACACACACACATACGAACAGACAAAGAACTCTGGAAATACAGGTTTACTTGAAAATAAGTTGGGGCATTCGCGATTTTCATACGAAGCAGCATCTGTGTAGCATTGTCTTCTTTTATGTCCAGTTAAGAGAAATGCTCGACTTTCTCTTAGAAGCCTATTCAGTCGCTCTTTTTTATAAGAACCAATGTTTTCCAAATTCTGTCAAATTCAACAATGCCAGAAAAATCTAAATGTGCGTCTGTTCGAGGTTATTTGAGAGGTAATCGCTCCTGAAATGGGCACGCCAGACGCGGTCCTTGTTCCTGTCCTTGGGGCAAAGTCCGGTGGGTTGCGTGGTCAGGCTCCGGGACGAGCCAGGGACCATTCTCCAACACAGCAGCCGCGCTAGACCGTGGGCATTTTGTCGCTGTCTTACGTGAGATGCATATTACATTTGCCGTGAGCACAAACCGATAAATAATACTAATGTTTTAGAGCCGAGCAGGGCACGGGTAATGTAAGTTCCCTGAGGACGGCAGTGGGTGACACTGAACGCTTTTCTGTCATAGCCAGTCATGCAGTGCCTGGCAGTTGAACTAAATAATGGAGAATTCCTTAGGAGGGAGCGTTATTTATGACATTGTGTGTGTGTATGAGTGTGTGTATGACTGTGTGTGTGTGTGTGTGTGTGTGTTTTGAGGGAAGGCGAATAGAAAGCGTAGCCATTTCATGCCAGAGTTCCCAGATCTCGCCGCAGAGATGCTGCTTAAATTGATTGGAGACTGGACCTCACAATCTGAACGCTCAGAGCTCCCCGGGTGGTGTTGACGTATAGCCGTGGTGAGAACCGCGGTGGCTTCCCTTCACATCACTGCCTTTGAATGCTGGAACGCAGGTGTGCATTAGAGCAGCGTTAGTACTAAAAGAGGAAGCATTGATCTTTGTTGCAATTTGAGAAAATTCCGTTTTAAGTTTCAACACCCTAGTGTTCTTACTGTCTGTCATTTGTTTTTTCTTATTTGTGGCCTATAATTTAATTCTGGTAACTATACGTGCATTTGAAAGGCAGGTAATTTCTGACACATAATCATTAGAAGTTTGATATGCTGTGTCTATTAGTATTTGCCATGTAGATATCCTACCTTCCTCTGCATACTTTGAGTGGAGATAATTTTATTTTGGAAGATGGACTGTCAGAAATAGATGTGCACTAGTTCCTTTTTTTATGTCAGCATATTACGGGGGTACAAATGTTTTGGTTACATAAATTGCTTTTGTAGCATTTGAGTGAAAGTTACAAGTGTGCCCATCCCCCAGATAGTGTGCATTGTACCCATTAGGTGTGTATTTACCCATCCCCTCCTCCCCCTCCCACCTTCTTGATTTCCAATGAATGTTATTTCCATATGTGTACATAAATGTTGATCAATTAGTTCCAGTTCGATGGTGAGTACATGTGGAGCTTGTTTTTCCATTCTTGGGATGCTTCACTTAGAACGGGCTCCAGCTCAATCCAGGATAATACAAGAGATGCTAGATCACCATTGTTTTTTTTTGTGGCTGAATAGAACTCCATAGTATACATATGCCAGATTTTATTAATCCCCTTTGGGCACCTGGGTTGTTTCCACTTCTTTACAATTGTGAATTGTGCTGCCATAAATATTTGAATGCAGATTTCTTTTTTATAGAATGTCTTTTATTCTTTGGGGTAGATGCCCAGTAATGGCACTGCTGGGTCAAATGGTAGATCTACTTGTAGCTCTTGAAGGTATCTCCATATTACTTTCCACAGAGGTTGCACTAGTTTGCAGTCCCACCAGCAGTGTAGGAGTGTTCCTATCGGTCCACATCCACGCCAACATTTATTGTTCTGGGACTTTTTGATAAAAGCTATTCTCACTGGAGATAAGTGGTATCTCATTGAGGGTTTGATTTGCATTAAGCTTTTCAGCTTAGGCTAGGTCTGACTTTTGGCTTAGATTTGCCAACTTGCTCAAGATTACAATCCCTGCACATTATCACGATCGTTCACTGGGATAAGCTCTTATTAAAGCACTCAACATTAAAGGAAATAATGTGAGTGAACTTCATAATAAACCTTAGATTTACAGGGAATCCAACTGTATGTCTAGGACAAACTTCTCCACAAACCCTAAGTTTCAGAGGTGATATTCTGTGAGGTTAACCCTGTGTCTGAGGTGTCTAGTTGTCAGAAAGCTTTACTCTTCCTGCGTTGGTGTGGCGTCCAGCATTCCCTGCGCCCACCGCCCTGAAGCACAAAACGTGTACTCTGTTGTCTTCAGTTACTGGGAAAATGTGAATCCCTAAACTTGCCACTTGAAATGGA